CCCTACCTATCATTCACAGGGAGACATGTGCCCTCAATTGGCCATCCTTAGGAACAACTGTCATGCTGCACTGCTAAGCAGGAAGCAGAGTCTGCATATGGCAAATATAGCTGCCCCACTATTTACATAAACAATATTAAACCATACAGAAATCATTAACACTCATTGGTAAGTTTTGTACATGCACAAACGCGTATATGCGCGTAAAATACGCAGAAATACAGAGCCCGGACGCACCCTGGGTCTATTTTTTTTGCGCATCTTTAGGCAGTGCAAATATACGGCTCTATACGCAGCTATGTCTATGGAGCCATTTATTTACATATGCTGCATATGGAAAAATATGCGCATATACGCAGCGCATTGTACGGCAGTGTGAATGAGGTCTTAACATTGACCTACAGTAATGCAAAACACTAAAATCTCATATAATCTTTATGTTATTTTACTTTTGAAAGTTATTTTCTTCTTCATAAATATGCAACTTTCATTAAAAGAATACCTGTTAATCCTGCAGTGATGGTCCTTGTTTGGGCACTTCTTGTTATGGGATGACAGTAATTTCCCATTTGTGCTCCCGAGTCCTGACAATGATTACACAGCTCATCTATATAGAATTGTTAAAAATGTAAGATAAAAGAATTAGGAAATATAAGCCATCCATACTCAATACTGCAGGTATAACTTGACACAAAGCTTTAAGGAAATCACATTTCTGAATTCCGCTATAGTAAACACATGCAAAACTGTGATGGTGTAAAGATTAGTCCAAAATTTGGGCTGTGGCTATACACAAACAGTCAGTATATTCCCAGCGGGATATGCAGCATTTTCGATACACTGTCTAAAGTTGCAAAAGACCTATCTTTTATAAATTTCTTACTGCCAAAAGAAAACTCTAATGACTGAGAAAATGGAGCCCAAGTGTTATGGACCTTGATCCGATCTAAATTTGCTCACAAATTTAGATCGGATCAAGGCTCCGTACTTATATCTGCCGCCTGGCCTGATGAGAGCGAGACGGGTCAGTAAGGGCTCTCCTTTGTTATCTCTACTGTCATAGGCTGGCTAGGGTTTATATCCCCAGGGTGTCCCTGTGTTCCAGGCGGCGGCTCCCCAATAATTGCAATTCTTTCCCCATGACCCCTTGGTGACACAGATATACCCCTCTCTTGGTTTACCTAACTTCTGTCCCATTGTTAGCTATGATCTGATTTTCTGTCCAATGATTTTCCAGTTCTGTGAAGGTCCTCAGCTATCCAAATCATGATATAGCTAGTAGTAGTTCGTCACATTCTGTATTGTTGTTCTGTAATGTTGATATTTCACCACTAATCCAAGTTCTGATGAAGCTATTTGGATGAGTAGCAAAACATTTTTAACATCACAGAAGAGGTCTAGTTGAATGTGACTACAAAGACATGCTGGAACGTTAATTGGCTCCTCTCTAAGTTGGCCCTATATGTACGCATGTGAGATAGGGACCTTAGATTGTAAGCTCCTTGAGGGTAGGAAGTGATGTAAATGTGCAACTATGTAAAGTGCGGCGTAAATTGTTGGCGCTATATAAATACCTGTAGTAATAATAATAATGTGACTACTTCTAATGATTTTTCAGATGATTAAGGTCAGAGCAGACAACAGTTGCTGTTTTTATGAGCATTTCTATTTTATTGAAAACACATCACTTTTTCTACAGGTCTCTGAAGCCCTACTTACATAACCTGCTATTTAAAACTCTTTGTTTCTCTCCGTTTGATAAAACAGTTCAATTAAAAAGATTTTTTTCAAATTAAGATGTTTTTCTTTTTCCACTAAATAAATACAGTCCTGGTTCACAAAACTAAAACTGTTCATTGCCACTCATTTATAATTGCTACAAACCAATTGAGTTAGATTATTTTATTATCTTTGTGCTTACTCTTTATAATAATAAGAAAATTCAAGACTGAGCTGGTATTTATTGTTTTCAGAGTGTCACATCATACTGGTGTGTACATCCATTCGCTGAATGTTAGAGAATGAAAGGATCTAGATTGCCTCCATGAAGCCTTTTCTGTTAATGTGAAGTACTGAAACCATTACATTACATACTAGTGATATGGAATCATAAGTGATGGTTTTCATGATTTCTCTTTTGGCAACATCCAGATACATACATTTTAGGATGATTTTGGTGAGTGTCAGCCAAACTTCTGATCTTGTCATTGGAAATCTTGTATTCCACCTATTATCTTGGAAACATTGAGTTGATATAATTTCAAGCATAGAAGAAGTCAGGGCAATTGCCTTAGATATCAGATATGTTCAGGTGTACTTAAGCATGGATTCATTACTGACCATTTATTTCATGAGTAATCACATGTCTTTCAAATTTATGAAGAGCTTATTATTTTAATTAATTAATAATTTCTTGAGACAAAGGCAACTTATAATTACATGATTCAAAAAACGAAACTTCACAGTAGGGCAAGCACAAAGACATGCCTTTAGTTTTGCTCTCTGCGCCCTCAGAGCACTGGCAAACTCTCCTCAAGGCATGCTGGAACCAACTGAGAACTGTAGTGGGAGTATTTCACCACAGGAGATCTAAGGGATATAAGGAGACAATAGGAAGCATCCGATTTTTACTTATAACCAAAATAACTTTAAAATTTAAAGTTTAAAATAATTTAAAATAACTTGAGTTTTCAGGAATGGTGGCAGTTCTGTCCAAGATGTACTACTTTATTTTCCCTTCAGCTATATTTTATTATTGTTTGTCTAATATCTTAAAAGGGCCTTCTATGGTGGGTTACTTCCTTGTACTAACACAAAAGAGATTCCCTAGGTATCATCTGAACTTAGAGGTGACAGCTAGACCTCTTTGTCCTAATAAATAAGGCCATTATTGTGAATAAATTATTTTATTTTGTTGAAAGCTAACTGCTGATTGATGGCAGATTTACCAAATTCTGGTGACCTGATAGCTGTTTGAGTCAAAGTTTGGGACTTGTGTCAGTGATAGAACGCATTCTGGTTGAGATTTAAAGACATGAGCTGGCCATATACTTGGCGTTTTTTCTTGCTTCCCGCATCTATGCTAACAAGTGTGGATGGGAGAAACAGTGACTTATGATGATTGCCTTCCAAAACTGTTGAGCTGACAATTCTCTTCCTGGCTCCTTTGATGATAGTTGATTGAGTTGATTGAAAAATAGACTTTCGTCAAATGGAGTGGTGTTGGCAGGGCCACACATTGTTCGAATTTGGAAATTTGAGCAGTGTATGCCCAACTTTAGAATCTATGTGTTGTATAGCCTGTGGGAAATTATTCCTCTAGCATTACAGGAAGCATAATGATTTAAACAGCAGGCTGGACCTGCCTGTGTACCCCAGGGTCAATTTGGAAAAGACATTGAGGGAGATTCAGTATAGCATTGTGAAACATTTCTGGCAGTGTGTATGTAGTTGGATGCCAAAATAATGAAAACCCTTTGATATTACCTTGTTAGTACTGACGCGAGCGACCATTTCATGCACTTCTTATTTGAAACACGTTTATCATCTGTGCTAAAATTGTGAAAATTCATTAAAAAATAATACCTCAATGTCAGTAATAAAGAAAGTGGAGATAAATAAGACCACTTCTATGTTGGAGTAAATTGATTGTGCGCACATGCGATTATTGTGTTGCATCTTTGAGACAATTCTGCAACCAAATTTGTTTTATCTTCCTCTGGAATTTATATTTGGTACATTTCTATCACTCTACAAACTTCTGTACATAACCTTTCTGCCTGTAAAACTTTGCAGGAGAGATACCTGTGACAGTTCTGACAGATTCATGTATACCTCACTACACGTACATCAATCAATTGAATGTAAAATCACCACCACTGACAGAGTAAGAAAGTCAATTCTTGTCCCTTTTTATTGAAATCTCGTTACATGCCTCATATAAGCCAAGTTCGGATAGCACGGGCGCTGGCGGTCGCATGAACGGTCCCCATAGCAATGAATGGAAGTGTTCATGTCGGCGGATCCGTGGGGCCGAACCGCCCCGGTGTGAACGGGGTCTTACTATGTCACCCTGAAGAAGGGACCCTGGGTGGCCCTGAAACATTTGTCATGAAAGTCTTATTTTGTAAAGCGCTGCGTAAACTGTTGGCGCTATATAAATCCTGTATAATAATAATAACATTGGCATATATAAGGCATGTGATGAGATTTCAATAAAAAGGGACAAGAATGTACTTTTTTACTCTATTCAGTGCTGGTGATTTTACATTCAATACTTTCAAGCACGGCGCTATCCGTGCCATCACTGCAAGCATCACTCATAATCGTTTTGAGGTTTTAACAATGTATGGAGTGTAGGTGATCTACAACAACAGTGTACATCAGTCTGTCGCAAGTTGCACCATTTGTTGGACTACCATTAGAAAGATTTTTATAGGGTGCTGCGATGAGAATCTAAATGATGTACAACAAGAGCTCTATTTAAAGAAGGAGGGAGTATGAGTTTTTGTGGATTGCTCGGTGATATCTGGTATGACTAGAGCTGTGGGTAACGGCTAAAGAGGTCGGTGTTACACTAGGGGGAAATATATTAGAACAAATCATGCTTGGGCTCAGCAAAAGTTGTACTATTGCTACACGTCTGAGAAAAGCTTTGGAAACACCGCCCTAGGTCATTACAATGTGATACTGGCTCATGCTGTAGCTGAATGCCATAAATCGATCTTCAGTTTCACTGTTTGTACTAAGATATTTATCCTTCTCTGCTACTGATACATGGAGCTGAACACATAACACCCAACTGTAACTCAGTAGTTTTATGTCACTCTTTAAGCTACACAATATATATATATATATTCAAATTTTATTACATTTTTTAATTTTTAATTAGCTATGCACTAGTCTTCTTATAATTTTAACTGTAATAGAATGTTATATTAACTTACACTAATAGAAATGATTAGCTCTTGTTCATTTTACATTGATGTAATCCATTTTAGGCTGTTTGTATTACTGCCCCTGCTGCAAAGTGGACATCACACAAGGTGTTGGCAAAGTGTGGTGGAAGCTAAGAAGGACCTGTTACAGGATAGTTGAACACAATTGGTTTGAGTCGTTTATCATCTTCATGATTCTTCTTAGCAGTGGGGCACTGGTGAGTATTGTATATGTTTTATATTTTAAAGAAGCATCAACCAACCCCATGTAAAGTAAATCAATTATTTTTATTATATGACAACAGCATGTGTACAGTGTAATAGCAGCAAACCAAGTAAGGGTATTTATTAGTAATTTCATTAGGAGAAATTTCCCTTTGGTTTCCTTCTCCTATTATGTTTGAATGAAAACCCAATCCAAGCCTTTTTTTTTACTTTAGTCAATTTTTTGAGTCACAGGAGTATATTTACTAATGTACTCCTGTGACCCAAAGTCAGCATATAGTGGGATACTGCCTGCTATTTGCTGACACCGCAGAGCCACGCTGCAGCCAGGAAAGATCCCGACAATGTTTTTGGGATACACCCAGCTTCCTGATTGACAACTGGCTCTGCCTCTCTAGAGTCAGAGCCAACTGTCCCCACCCTCTCCCCTGTCTGTCCCTTCAATGACCGCTGGAGGAACAGAGAGGGGAGCGGGGATCCTTGCAGGGAATGGTGACTAACAGTCACTTTTCCCTACAGGGAGAAGACTGTGAGCTGAGCGATCAGCGGTTTGTGCTCGCTAAGCTCTCGATCTATAGAGCCGGTGTGAGACAGCTGCAGTGTCACCTGCACATTTTACTCTCCCAATACTTCTCCTTTAAAGTTGAACTCCAGGCAGATATGAAATATAATTTAATACGTATGTGTATTCCTATAAAGAAAATTAAATATATCTTTAAATACAACTTGTATAGGTACCTTATTGTCTCTTGATATCGTCCTCTTTTAGTCACTACACAGCATCAACTAGACTAGGAAAGGAGGGGCAGCACTAGGGGCCATTCAGACTCTGCGCATGCTTATGGGCTGACAGCCAACATGATGACAGGAGGAGCAGAAATTGCTTGCTACTCCTTCATCTTGCAATCAGCAGGCTGTTGTTAGGCAACATAGTTACTGCTGTATTTCTTAAAGCTAAAGGCTAACAAGTCTTGTATCCCCTCCCAGTTTTCGGCAGGCAGCTTGTACTGGGAGGACTTACTGGATCCCACCCACATCTCTACTCTTTTTACAGGCTGTGTGCAGCACAGTGATTATGTCACTAATACTTTTTCAAGGTAATATTGAGGTTTGCAAAAGCATTTGGATCTATATAGTTAGTGGCTACTGATAAACATATTTAAATTATCATTCTTGTCACTGGAGTTCAACTTTAAAGCGTATGTAAAAACAAAAAAATATTATTGCAGCTTACCAGTCCATAGATGTGTTTGCTGCATGCGTTTTCTACCTTTATTTTTACCTGGTGATCCTGCCAGTAACACACTCCATGTCCAAGGATGGCAATCTCACTCACCCTTCTGTATCAGGATAAGAGATAGGACTACATCATCCAGTTCCTTGCCTGTTATCCATAACATAGAGGGGCATTGTTCTCAGGGAGCTGAGCAGCACAATGTAATTGACAATTGTCAACACAGGCAAAGAGCAAAGGAAGTTATTAACTCACAAGATTTCTGGCAAGATCAATGGGCATTCTTGAACTTATTAAACAGATATAACAAACACTTTTAATGGTATATTAAACAGACCAAAAGGGATAATAAAAGAGGAGTTCATTGTCAGGATTTACATACATAGAGGGAAAGGCATAGCACACAGTCACCAAGTGCTTGTTGGTGTTTGCATATATTAATAGTGCCTGTCATTTAACAGGCGTTGAATGCAAAGAAGGCAAATGAGCTGCTCTGTGACACGTTAGAACCACGTTCGTGCATTACATTACAGCTCTTTATTGGTGCCAAGGCATAGTACTGCCCAACAATTACTGAAAACCATTATCTTATGATAGTAATCACATTTCAATGTTGACAATATGTGGCCAAGTATAATAAGACGAATAGCTATTTCAGCTAAAACCTGTGAAAGCAACCATTTCGCATTGCTTGTAAAGGAGTTCATAATACATTTGGGAACCAGCTTTGCTTCCTAAAATATGCCAGAACACCTTTTAATCCATTTTACCCCCTGTCTAATGAAAATGCCTCACAAAATGGTTGTATAAAAAAAAAAATTTGTGTCTTTGCTTAAAGTCTGCCGCTTTCTTATGCTGTTTTGATTGGGAAATTGAATGGCTTTGCATTAATAATTATTAAAGTCCCCTAGGGTGACACAGAAATGACCACATTAGACATTCTTCCTGCATAACATGCGTGTAATCTCATTCAGTAAAATGATGCCATTATATTTGATGCTTACTGTAAAAAGTTAAATTAATCAGGGAATGGATTCTGCTCAGTGTATACCAGTTTAGGTTTCTTTTACTGAGCAGGCAGAGGTTGTAATAAAGGAACTATGTTTTCTTTATCAGTAGAATAACCATAACCAGGTGGCCATTCAGTTTAATGGTGGGTCTGCAGAAAAGGGCTAAACTGCTTTCATATTCTAATGGAGACAGGCTCTTCAGTGTTTTTCAGTACTCATCTCATTCATTTCAGTAGAAGAGCTGAGGATAACCTAGAGCAGGGGTAGGCAAACTCCCTCACTCCAGCTGTGGTGAAACAAATCGCATCATGCATCTGCTTCTGGGACTCATGCATGTCGCTGTTAGAGTCTTGCAATGCCTAATGGGATTTGTAATTGTACCACAGATGGAGGGCTGGTGTTTGCCTACCCATGGCCTACAGTAATCTTTTTATCAGCTCTCCAAAGACAGACTGGTTGCAAGGGGTAATTTCTGCCATACATATTTTTGAGGTGTGACAATTTAGTTCCCAGAATGGAGTGTAAAAAAAATGTTTGCTTACCTATACACTAGCGGCTGTTGTCACCTTCAAAGTAGTCCCCTTGTGAAGCAACACATTTTTCTAGACGACTGTGCTACTGCCAGAAACATTCCTGGAATTTGTTTTCCCAGAACACTGCAGAGTATCTTTGTAATGGCACGCTGGATGTCTGGAATGTCATCAAATCTGTTTCATTCGAAGGCATTTTTTAATTTTTGAAACAGCCAAATGTTGCAGGGTGCTATGTCAGGGGAATAAGGTGGTTGGTCAAGTTTCGGAATGGATTTCTGGGCCAGGAACTTGCAAACACTTAACGCATCATATGCAGTAGGAGCATTGTTGTGGCGGAGAATCCACTGGTCAGGCCAGAGTTACGGTCTTTTCCTCTGAACAGATTCCCATAACCTTTTCAGATTTTTCAAGTAACAATGTTGGTTGTGTTTTTGGCTGCCCACTTGTTGCATCATCATGGACATCTACCCCCCTCTCTTTAAACCGCCTATGCAATTCAAAAACACTTGATTTCTTCATGGAATATTCAACATAGGCCTATTGTAACAGAGCTAAAGTTTCACTCTCACTTTTGCCAATTTTCACGCAAAATTTTATGATAATTTGCTGCTCCAGATTCCTTAAACTCATTTTCCGCCAACAGTGCAACGCACACAAGTGTTATTTCTTCTGCTACTCCTTAAGGACTGAGTCAACTGGTCTGCGACCCAGGCAAGTGTAAGTTAGAACATGTCAGAACACGCTCATGTTTGAATGGCTCACTCCCATAGTGCTACGGCTTTCCAAGAATTAAATTGTCACACCTATAGAAATGAAAAGGTATGTTTAGCAGCACCCCCCCTGAGAAGCAACCTGTCTTCTCTCTCTTGTAAAAATGTGATGAGCTGAGGCCTTTAAATTACTTAGCAGACCCCCTTTTGTAATAGGGTGAAAGAGTTTTGGAAAGCCTCTGAGAAACCAAACAAAGGTATGTGTAGCAGCACCACACCTAAGAAGCAACCTGACTTATCTCCCTTGTAAAAAGTTGATGAACTGAGGCCTTTAAATTACTGAACAGACCACATTTTTTTAATAGGGTAAAAGAGTTTTGGAAAGCCTTTGACAAACTAACCAAACGAGGTATGAAAATCGTGTAGAATCGATATGAAGCTATTGGATCCTATACTGTATATCAGGCACCATTGTAAATAACTAGAGTGTCCTAAATATACCTAGTGAGGGATTTTCTGTAATAAAGTCTATTAGACTGTCCTGTAACATTCAGCAAACCAGTCAGCTACTGTCTGGTGTGTAGTCCTTTTCAAGTAGTGTACAGTAAAAACCTTTCAACAACCCTACAAGCCTGTATTTGTGTGGGTGTGGCACTGCTTGTCATCTTTTCCCAAGCCTCTATTGCACTGGTAACACAGGTATCCATTGAGCAGCACTCTGTACCAATATTATATATGGGGGTGGCTATTGTTCAGTGTAGTGACGCTGTTATTGTAAATACAAAGACGCCCTTGAGTTAGACATGATGACATCATTGTATTAGATATGATGACACATTTGTACCCACAGGTGTGATGAATAATATGCCTGATTACTTTTCATCATCACAACACAGCATCACAAAAAAAAGCTCTATCGGCTTTAACACTCTGTGGCTGTGGCAATAATACACATAATCATCAGCGCAGGTATTCATCTTTCAAAGTTATCTCAGTTGTTCATAATTTATCCAAAGAGGTCACAAACAAGTCTGCTGCATGGAAAAACTTAGCAAAAACTGGTTTGTGTTGCCATGGCAATGGAAGTTCATATTTTACATTAACTATGTGTTACAATGCGCTTGTGTCTTGAGTACTTGCTTTTTGTTTCCCAGGCATTTGAAGATATTTACATCGACCAGAGGAAAGTCATGAAAATCATCTTGGAGTATGCAGATAAGGTGTTCACTTACGTTTTTGTTCTGGAAATGCTATTGAAATGGGTGGCCTATGGCTTTAAGAAGTACTTCACTAATGCCTGGTGTTGGCTGGATTTCTTCATAGTTGGTGTAAGTACTGTGTATCTACTTAACTAAAGATTGTATGATATGACTGTCCCACCTTCCCCACCACATACACAAGCACACACACACAGAGCCAATTTGCTGGTGTGCATCTTTTTTCTCATGACCAATGTTCTCTGTTTTTCGAAACTCATCTATGGTTTATGTATATATGAAGAACCACTAAACTGAAGACACCAGTTACACCATATAAAGCAATACTATTAATGGCACTATGTCAGTAGCCTATTTGGGGTAAAGTGACAGGTTCTTGAAAGAGGAACCCATACCCCACCCCCCTTCCTTTTGCTCACCATCATATTCCTACACAAATCTGTTCTTCTCCCAAGCTGTGAGGAAATACCCATTATTTCTGATTATGGTGAAGCACGTAACCTCCACCTCTTCCTCGGATGCCTAAAATGCAGTGCTTGGGCCTCAGCAGCCAATCACCAGACCCACAAACTATCACATAAGGAAGGAAAAGTAGTCATTACTCATGTGTAAGTTCCAACACCACCTTAGGGTTTACACAAAGTTAGGACTTCCGGCAGCGATGGAGGAACAGAGCATTAGGGTAGTGCAGAAAAGTTGAATAGTAGTGTGTGGGGGGTTCTTCTTTTAGGAGAACCTATCACTTTGCTCTGAATGGGATTATAAGAATGTTGATTATAAAGGCCAGTGAAGGGAAGGCTTGCATTTTCTACTCTGCACTGGAAACCTTTATGCCAATTTCAAAATTGTTTGCAAATAGTGTTGCCCATACATTGAATGGATAGATGCATTTGCACAAGCAGTCTTTGTGCTGAGAAATAATAGTAACTTAGTGCAAACTAAAGGTCCTTTTTCTAACCTCTTTTCATGTGTGTGTCTCCAGCATACTGCTGATCTAGTCTTGGGTACGCCTTCTGAAAGAACAACTTCCCGGGTCTCTCTGAGTGACTCAATCACATGATCAGTAGATGTGATGATGCAATTGCAGTCTTTATACTAATACATTGGTGCATTTTATAAGCAGCTGATACACAATAGAATTACATTTGTTCTTTTTAGAATTATAATAAAAACTAAGTTTATATTCAGCATTAACATATTCAGCATTAACACAATTTAGGCTATTTCCTGTGTTGTATATTTTGCGTCTGGTGTTCAGCATTTATACATGAGCCCACATGTGTTAAATATTTTATTGCTTATTCAGATATGTTTATGACTATTGTGTTTACTTGGTTTTAATACCTCTAAAAAATTATCTTCTGATAATCTGATTTCTATTCTCATGATTTCTGCACTGCATCTGTGAACTTAATGTTTTACCTTCTAAGTCTTGTGAGGTCAGTATACAGAAAATTATGCTTTATGCACTTGGTTAACTATCAAATAGAATATCTTGTCCATGCCATTTGCATGTTTCAGTTTAGCAATGTAGCATTCCTTCCCAGTGTGATCATCCCAAGGTAGAGGAACAGAGCATTCTAAGAGTGAGCGGAAATCTTTAATGAGGCCAGAAATAACAGATCCTTCCTAGCTTGGTTTGCATTGAAATTATCATAATTAATTATCTATAATTAAGTTTCATCTGTGCTTCTGTAAGATGGGTATGGTTTCTTGTCAGACTGTGTAGTGCTGAGCTTCTCATAGGAAGTGTTGCCATTTTGTCACTTTACAGCTTGCGGTAGTTACAATGGTAATAACTCAAGTACAGAGTGCTGTTTCTCAAAAGCTTAATATGAACCAAACCTTTGGCCACCCAGCATCCACACACAACTTCTTGATCTGTTAAAATTTGGCACTTGCCACTTGTAATCACAGGTCTTAACTGCTCATCCCCCCTGTTCCCCAGCTCCTGGACCATTAGATTTCAATGACAGCATCACCTGCAGCTTCAGTGTGTATTTATTGATTCTAAATCCAAGGAAATACAGCCCTAAAAGCACTAAACATCACCTACAACTATTCTGTGTTCAAGGTATTCCTGAAATTTTTTACTTTGAAATTCCCCCAGATTAAAATTATTTGTTAGCATAAATCATGGGCGTGAACCAAGACCTGACCCTGAGAACAGGTTAAAGCAATTGGGATCTCTTGGACCAGTACTTTTATTGCAGAAAACCTTCTTATAACAAAGCAATCACAATGGGATCTGCAATCAGTGACACATGAGGTGGGTTATATAGCTACTTGCTCCCCATTTAGGCCAGTGATCACATTGCCTAGCAGATAAAAGTCTCTCAGCACTGACTTTATGGCTCAGAGTTGTTGAATGACCGATTGCAAGGAACTGCAAAGGAAGCTGATACTGGAAGTTGTGAAAAAGTGTGTCACAATAAATAATGTTCTATAGGAACACTCACCTCTCATCATGCCTACCAAGGGAATTTTTAGTAGCTCAACAGAGATGCTAAAATTGCTTGTGATTAATTAAAAAGAGCAGCAGTCTGATGCTGACCACCGGCTTCCCCTTGTGAATCTTCCTACTTGGGCTTCCCGAACCCCACCATTGAGTCTAACTGTTATCCACTTTGTAATGTAAAATAATGAAAAAACACTTTGTAATGTAAAATAATCGAAAAAACACAACAGGCTTCAGGAGCTGGGCAGACCTGGAACAGCATATCCCGCACTGCCAGAGGCTATGTATCCCTACATAGTTTTATCTCTCATCAAGAATGGTAGATAACTAGAGATCTGTCTGTTTACATGCTATTGCCATATATGTAGTGAAATGCTGCAATAGTCTCTTGGCTGACGTGGAAGCAGCCCACTTTGTCAGAGGTCCGTTCCCTCCCATAATGGAAGTGTTGAAACTTGAAAGCACTTGACCTTATTCTGTTCTCGACCACCAGGTAATAAGAGTGACAGCCAACCCTCTTCAGCCCTTGTTTACTATATGTTCCAGCTAAGCAATGCTGCTACAGCAATTGAAAAAATTAAATAAAAAAAAGAAGCAACAAGGTTCACTTAAAAAGTTGATCGGCAGTCCTCACACTTCACCCTCCAAATCTAGAAACATTTTCCTTACAGTATGGCACAATCTCTTAGTTTTCCAGGACTTATGCCACCTAATGTGAACTTAGCATGATGCTTCTCAGAAAAAAAACAACTACTGGACCCAACCCCTCTAGTAGTTTACCTGGAAGGTTCCCAGCTAACAATGCAATTAGTCTTTTGTGTATGGTGGTCCATTCACTCACCCGGCTACTTGCAGATCCAGTGACGCCTTCCCTGCTCTCACCTCTCTGCTTGGCTATGCTTAACCTTGTTACTACCAACTAGGCGACTATGGGCACTCCCATATCATTTCCCAATGTGGACCAATTACTACCTTCTACTAAAATAACTGTGATTGCAAATCACTTTCTGCACAGGTACCCTTTACATCCATATGCCGCAAAGGTTGCAAACAGAGTTGCACAATATGCTTTTTTTGGCCAATATCTGGCCACCCTTTCCCTTTAATGTTGATGACATGTATTCATTCTGTTCTGTCTAGGTCTTTAGTACTGATAAAGGATAAAACACTGTTTCAATAATCCACTCTGAGCTTCCTTTTATAGCATGTGCTCTGCCAAATGTATTTTGTTAAGATATGATCCCCATGGCAGGATAAATTTGTCAAGCATCCCAGACCATATTTATCTATATCAATTCACATTGATTGTGTTGTTTTGCTAAAGCATTTTACATGTACGATTTGTTGAATGTTGTAAACCTAAATCAATGAAGAGAAAATGACCTGCATTATGTAGTTTTAAAGATAAAGAGGCTGGATTGTGTCAGTCTCCCTTTGGGGTACAGTACAGCAACAAGAGAAGCTTGTTCTGTCTTATAGTCGATTAGAAAAGACATAACAATCAGAGATCAGTGAGTTAAATATTCTGCATGATGTTTTTAGTAATCATCAGAGGAATAGATTACAAATATTGCTACTTTTTTTTTTTTACCTTTTACTCCTATTTTTTTTCTTTTTTATAATGTTTTTTTTTTTATGTACTAGTCAAAGCCTAAAATTGTTATTTGCAGACAAGCTCTAATCAGAACTGAAATACCTTTTTATAGATCCCAGAGATTTCCCAACAGTAGCTTTTATATCCGTTCCTATGTGCAAAGTCATAACAAAGGCACCATTATTTATTGTAATGGTTGTAGGATTTCGTTAAAACAAGGATACATCTCCCTACTAGAGTTTCCAAGAACTGTAAAACCTCAGTGGAAGTTTCAGCTTGCAGAAACCACACAAAGCTTAAAGTGTGTCTAAACCCCAAAACAGAAATGTGATATATTGCAGTTTAACAATCTCTAAGGGGGTCTATTCACAAAGCTGCCGAAGAATCTAGCCGTAGCTTCGGCCGATTCTTCAGCTAGCTTCGGCCCCAGGACCCCTTCAGTTCAGTAGAACTGAAGGGGTGCGGTACGGGCTATTCACTATAGCCCGTACAGCTACCAGACCTGGCCGAGCGGCTCAGTCGAGCCGAACGTATATGCATCGGCTCGGCTGAGCCGTGCTAAAAGCCGAAGCTGGCCGAGCTTCTGACAGCTGGGCGGAGCCAGCCGTGATCTTACGGCTGGCTCCGGCCACTTGCAGAGAGATCAGCGCCCCTGGTTACCTGCTAACCACGGACACTGATCTCCAAACAGCTAACTCTCCCTGGCGCCCCGGGAGTCTCCTGCTCCCGGCCGCCAAGGAGAGAAAAACTGCTGTGTCTTTTTTTTTCTTTATTCTGACACGTAGCGATGTCAGAATAAAAAAAATAATTTCCCATTGAAATGCATTGCTACATTACTATTGGCTATTTCAATTTGCAATAGACTATCAGAGTCAATTTACATGAAATGTTCCCAACTATAGCCATACCTGGACAAATCCTTCCCAAAAAAGTACAATGGATAATAGGAAATCTACATATGTTAGTTCATATCTTGACATAGCCAGGACCTAGTACATGACTTTTCCCATGGCCTTCAGAAGCACTACTTTCAAGTCATTTTGTGAGTGCGACCATTGA